TATTTCAAGATTACAACAAAACCAACACTATTCATAATTTGTGCTAATGTTCTTAATTCCATGATTAATTTGTGTCTACATTTTATAGACACCCCTTAATTAAAAAAAGGAAGTTTGGGATGAAAATAGAGCCTGTTTCTAATCCTTTCCCCACCCTCAGTATTCTCTTTCCTGTGACCTCAGCCCTATAAGATCATTCCCTCTTCAAGGCAAGTTGATAGTATCGTCAAACAGAAGTACAGAAGTAAAAATTGGGCAGCACCTGCCAAGGTCGCCACTTCCTTCACTTGAGAGTTGGTCCATTTCACAGATGGTTATGGGAGAGGAAGCCCCCAATATTCTGGAGTCCCAGCCTCGTGTTCTTTTCCTCACAGACTGCAGTCATGTTTAATTTGGAAACTGGGCTCTTTTGGCAAATTAGCAATTAGAACAATTTTGTGGGAATATGTATATGTGTCATTAGTTTTCCTGCAAATTAATAGCAAGAGCAGAGGTCAGGCAGAAATTTTCCACTTGACTGCAGCTCCTCTGTTGAGATTTGGCACTTTGTTTTGGAACGGCCACAGCTGCTCCAAGCCACACTCTTCCTCTAGGAACTGTCTTTTAATTAGTTTACCTCATAGCCATTATTACAAATATTACTGCCTCCCCTCCTTGAAATAGAATTACTGTTTCTACAAAATATTCCAGTGACATCTTGCACCACTGCACATTGATGGTGGGGGTCATTCGAATGCAGCGTTTAATCATTAGATCACCTCCATAAGCATCTCCTAATTAGAGTCCTTACAATACAATTTTATCTGGTAATTAGCTGAGATTGGCTGCTTCCTCTGTAGCTTATTAGTAGCAACCCAGCAGTGGGTGTGAATCACAGTGTCATTTGTCAAGCCTGTTAAAGTCCCCTCTTCCCTCTCCTCTTTTTCAGTATTTATTTCTAGTTGCTACCTGTACTCCAAAGCCTGAAGAAATGTTACTCACTTTCTGTTCTTTCGGTGGAGAATACTGACCTTTATGGGTTTGGGGTTTTTTTTTTTTTTTTTTTTTTTGGTCTTCTAGTAGAAGCAGACCAAGTGTTAGGTTTTTTATAAAGTAGAATAGTTGAACGCCTTTTGAAATGGATGAAATGTTATCACTATGACTTTTCCAAAAGAAGAAATCATCAACTGTCCTTATATATGGACACCTAAAATGCTTTGGGTTTGCTGGCAGTTATCAGATGTTTCAGTGGACTTTGATTTTGTGCAACAGAAATAAAATCCAGTGGGTTTGATCTTTTTTTTTTCCCCTTATGAAATCAGACAGTGCTGGTATGTTATGGCATGATGGAAGCTAATATTTACTCCATGTTAATTTTTAATATCACTTTTTTCCAAATATATAAATGACCTACTGATTTATGAACCACTAGATAATATTTGTAAATTACAAAGAAAGAAAAAACCAGCAGTATAAATGCAAACATTTAAAAAAAAACAAAACTCTCCAACAAATTAGTTCCAAGGGGGAGCCTGTAAAGTAAATTAGGAGTGATAATGATTTGTTCACTTTGTTAACTTATTATTAAGGAAATCATAAGATGAGCTCTGCCCTTTTAGGAGCCTGTCTGCCACCATATTTTTTCCAAAGCGTTCCAAGCAAGAACTTCTGGCACAGTCACATCTGCAGAGGGTCTTGGTTTCGTGAATTAATTTCTTTGGAGTTTTGCTTGAATTGATGCTTATGTGGATGGTGGCGGGCTAGCTCAATTGCTTTCAGTATGGTGCAAATGAAGTCAAGCTCATGAGTCACATCCCTGTGGGAGTCAGTTGGCTTTACACTTTTCCATAACCATAGTCTGCTCCCTTGACCCTGAGCAGCTATCAGGTAAATGTGTGCCACTGAATCACAAGGGTAAGCCCTTAAGGAGGTTGTGGTTGGATAATTGCAAATGTACCAGCAAAAAGGAGAGGGGGTGGGTAGGGGACTGGTAAGAGAACTACTCTAATTGATGGAGGGTCACTGGTGATATCTTTCCATTCAAATAAGTGCCTGAAGGCATCAGAGATTAACACACACACACACACACACACACACTCACTCACTCCTGACTTTGGGGAGCAGATATTTTATTTAAGGGGTATATAAAGCATGTACATAGATGAGTAAACACAAGGTAATTTGATGAAGAAGGGAGTGTTAATGGGGTAAAGAGCGAGGAATCCAGGAAGATTTCCCCCAAGAAGTGACACCTGAGATGAAGAAAATCTCTGAGAGACAGAAATAAGGAAGGATGGGTAGGATATAGTCTAGGAATGAAGGGAGCAAGAAGACTTAGTATAATTTAACTGAGGTGGGAGATGAAATGTGGAGTTTGGTAAACATCTAGTATTCTACATGTGGGGAGTGTATGATAGAGTAATGTATTAAAATATACAGCCCCTAAATATTTTAATTGACAGAATTTTTTTTTGATGTAAGAAGCTTTTCAACAAATAAGCAAACTACCTCCTAGAAAAGCATATATCTACTGCAAACCACTATGTAGGACTGCTTAGTGGAATAATTGCAATCATGTTAATTTCCACTTTTATTTTATCATTTTTGTTGAGATTGAGTTTTGTTGCCTTTAAGTCTGTCTTCATTTAAGCTCTTGCACACGTCATTCTTTTGGCCCTGCTTCCTTCACTCCACATCAGTTCGCATGGGACTCCCATATTTCTCTGAGTTAAGCTTCCTGCACCAGTACGCCACCATTCGCTAAGCCCTTCCTCAATTTTTTTTCCTCCACTTTATTGCTATTACAGATAGTACTGCCATGAATTTTTTGGGGGGAGAGGGTAAATGCAAACCTTTTCTTGCTGTTAGTAACCCCCTTGGGTTTAAACTCAGTTGATTAAAAGTGTGAGTAATTCACTAACTTTTCTTACAAAATTCCAAAATTGTTTTCCAGAACCAGTCTCTTTTTTTTTTGCTACTGTATTTTACCTTAGAAGTTAATATTTCCTGAATCTTTCAGAATTTCTCTTTAAAATAGAAAAAGTACATAAGACATTAATCTGTGTTGGAATTCTAAATACAATGTATAGGGTTTTTTGTTTTGTTTTGTTTTAATTATTTCTACAATGTCATTAGAAACCAAATAACTGTTTATAATCCCTAATATGCAAATATATTTCGAGATTCTTTTTATAATGTAGAGGTAGGCTCTTTTAGATATATTTGTCCATTTGCATATATTTTTATTTTAATCATGTATCGATAAGATGCCGCACTCCCAAAGAGCCCTCAATAAATGGCATAATAACAGAAATATAGAGACAAGTAAATCCTTTCTCTGAGTGAAGTTTATTATGAAGGGTCTTAAAACTGTTTTAAAATTATTTCACCAACAATGTATCAAGAAACTGATTTCATCAAAGTAGTGGTGTGGAACTTCTTTCAATGCAGACCTCAGTCCGTCTATAATTGATAGCCTTGGAAATTGTAAAGCATAAATTAATGAAGCATCTAAGGTTTTTTGTTTTTCAGTTGTGTGTATCTGAGCATCAAAACATATATGCTTACTATTATAATAAGTGTATTAAAACTAGGTGTCATTTTTATTTTTTAGAATAGCCAAGTTGAAATTCTCCCTCCCCAAACCCTCATCTCTCACACGTGCACAGAAACATCCATAGAATCATGACAAATACTAATTATTAGAGCATTTTGTACAGAATAATGGCCAAAAGATTTTGATATAGCAAAATCCAAATAGCTGATAGCCTGTCTGAGACATTTGTAATAAAATATCTTGCTTTTCTCAAGCAAGTCCTCATCTTGCCCTTCATAGCTCTCCGTGTACCTCCTCCCTACCTTCCCAGTCTTATTTCCTATTTTCCCTATCCTGGCTTCAGTGCTTCAGCTAGCCTGCTCTTCTGGCTGTGCCCCAGAGCTTTGTACATTCTGTCATTTATGTCTGAAAGGCACTTCCTCCTTCCCTTCACCTCAGTTCAATTAAGCTCCTACTTTGTGCCCCAGACACTCTGCTAAGCAGTGGAGATACAAAGATTAAAAACAAATGTCCATGCCCACCACGTCATTTATTTTCTCCATAGAATCTGCAGCTTCTTTCAGTGCTAGCACAGGTCCCATTGCCTACATGAGGCCTTTCATAATGCCCCCTCCTTCCCAGCTGTTCTCTCCCTCTTGAAATTACTTTCTGTTTTAAAATCCACTTGGTATTTACTTACCTTTGATCATGTTGTGTCTACCCAGTAGAATGTAAATCCCTTGAGGGCAAGGACTCTCTTTCATTTTTGTCTTTATCTCCCACCCAGTAACACAGTGTCTGACACAAAGAAAGTGCTTAATAAATGTTTGCTAAATTAGTAAACTCAACAAAATGAAAATCTGAAGACATACTCACCTCTATAAATATCATTGTAATGTTAATTAGTATACATAGTAAATAATGTTTTCTGGGTATTTATGCAGTCATACATTGGAATCGTGAAGAAATCATTTTGTGAAAATGTCATTAGTTTTAAAGAAAAACTCATGTTCAGAATTCTCTCAGCAGTTATTTTATTATAGATTTTCGTTCTTTAGTCAGTGAATTTTAGTACAGTTTGGTTTCAAGGATATTGTTAGGTTTGCTTTAAAGGGAAATGAAGATGCTGAGTTCTTCCTTAGTCAAGTGTTTAGTTAACTCTTCCTTCAGAATCAATTCAAGATAAAGGTGGGGTGGGGGGGACAAACTGATCCGTTTCCCAGCCAAACCTCTATCTTCCCACAAGATCTTGTCCAGGACTAAGAAAATGATTACCATTTTTGTCAATCAAAGATAAACCACCACAGATAAATTGTCTTTTTCAGTGGAAATTCCCCTTGGGTGTCCATTGACAATTTCCTGTTCTGCTGATGTCTTCACAATAATAAACCTAGATGTGTATCCATGGCCTTATTCTTGCATGGCTTTCGATGGGTTTCATGTTATGAAGGTCTTTCAAAACAGAATTTCTCACTTTTCTTCCTAGTTGAATCTGGTATCAAGTGTCACACTCTCCAAAACAGCATCGGAGGCTTCTCCACAGAGCTTACCTCATACGCCTACTACCCCCACGACACCCATCACTCCTGTCACCCAAGGACCTTCTGTCATCACTACCACCAGCATGCACAATGTGGGACCCATCAGAAGGCGGTACTCAGATAAATACAATGTGCCCATTTCTTCAGGTAACTTCTTTACTCCTCTTCATTTTAGATCACTACATGCTAGCATTTTGATTTTTGTAGATGCGAAAATTAACAGGACAATGATTCTTATTTAGCAGATATTGCGCAGAACCAAGAATTTTATAAGAACGCAGAAGTTAGACCACCCTTTACGTATGCATCTTTAATTAGGCAGGTAAGTAAAATCCCCCAAAAGAGAACCAAAAAAAGCACACATGTCTCTGTACATCTTATATTGATGAAATAGATTTAAAACCGTTTAGTATGCAGGCATGCTCAAACCTTTTCTATAAGGTTTTTTAAAACTGCAATATATAACATAATTGCTTTTGATTAAGTATTACAATACGATGTGATTATTAGGAAATTCATTTCACACAACAGTGAAAATGAGCCTGTTTAAAGATGGCAAGTCAATTATCACAAGCTACAGTAATCTCTGATCCCTAGAATTAATCTGAGCTCTAAATAATTACTGAGCTTTAATCAGCTAGTGAAATGTTTTGCATTTCTCTTTGATTCTGCTTTATGAATGACTAATAAATTAATATTTCTGTAAGGAAACAGAAATAAAAACTCAAAACAATTAGATAATTCCATTTTGAATTTTGCTATTGAACTGTTAAATACAACCATTAATCTTAGATCGTTCTGTGAAAGTCTTCTTAGGATTTTTGCTCCGAATCACAATGGTTTAATATTTTCAAAGAAAGGTGTGATGGTGATTGTGATGAAATGGTCATAAATTCTCTTCCATTATTATTCATGTCATAGGCTATTCTTGAATCTCCAGAAAAGCAACTAACCCTAAATGAAATCTATAACTGGTTCACGCGAATGTTTGCTTACTTCCGGCGCAATGCAGCAACGTGGAAGGTAAGCCTTTTCATACACCTTCCTCTTGTCTTTGGTTTTTATCATGTCTAAAATAGACACCGCCAACAGATGACATGATACAGTTGTAACACCACGAGGGCATTAAATCTATATTGCTTGTTTTGACACACAAAAACGATCTCATCCACAGGAATGATTTGAGATTTGGCAGGAAACTTCTTCCGTCTTTGAAAAGCACTAATTGAAGCCTCTCATTATTGGCTTTCTCTCCCATGATTATACCAGTTCATCTGTGGTTGTTGCTCTTAGCAGTGAAATTCTATCTTTCCAGCTGGAATATGTAGGATAAAGGGATAGAGTGTTATATTGGGCTTGTCTTGTGACTTACACAAAGCTTTCCATTCTTCTAGCCCTTCACCCACAACCGTCATTAGTGGAGATGGATAATTTGTTTCTCAACCGATTGATACCTGGGAAAAAATATTCTACCATCTTATCACAACTCTCTGGTTTATAATTAGGTTGGATAAAAATTAATGCATGGGATGGGAAAAGGCCAAAATGATATAAGCTAGGCTATTTGTTTTTCAAGTGACTGTTGGTTTTTTTTTGTTTTTTTTTTTTTTTTTTGGATTATGATGGACTTGTCTTTCACAGCATGAAGTGGCTTCAGACATAGTTAACACTCTCCCTCCCCAAACAAATGTCTTTTTTCCTTCTGAATAGAACAAGAAAATACTGGAATCTTCCTATAGCTCCCTTTGCAGTGATCTCTCAGGGTTTCATTCAGCTACACTGTTCTATGAGTTTATATGATTAAGCTCAGGATAAAGCAAATTCATCTTGGACACCCTATTTAAAGTCCCCAGGGAGCTTCAATTGCATGGTTGTCTCAGGGCAGTTCCAGTGGACTCCCCTAAGTTTCTTTCTCATTTTTTTTTTTCTGAGCCAATTCCTGGGAACCAAAGAGCTCCCTTTCAGATAAGGGTGAGCCATCATCATGGGTGTTACCTGGAGCATTAGATGCTGAATTTTGTTTAATTATTTTTTCTTAAATGATGATGGGATCTAAAAAATAGCTCATGCTCTAAAAGGGGATAAGTATTATTTGTTTTATCCAAAATACACAAAATAATCCCATTGTTATTTCCTAATGATAACTGTAATGGAAGAAATACTATTTTGTGTCAAAATACTTTTGGAATTTTAAAAATTCTGTTACTTACGATGGATAGGATTAACTGAAGACCATCATCTAGGCTATGCAGACTAAGTAGGTAGACCCTCTAGTGAATCAATGATAAGGAAACATGGTATCTGAGGTAAAGATACAAAGAACCTTGAACTTGATTGAGAATTTGGGCCCAGTACCATCCTGGTCAAAATTGAGGGAGCTATAAAGCCTAAACAGGAAAGAAAATAATTTACCTTTATTTGGAATGACAAAAACTCCTAGGCATTGACATAGTATTTAGACTTAGGTTTTCAGACTTAACTTTTTCCACATGCAAAAATTGCCAACATAGGGGCCGTTAAATAGTGATGATCGTAGTTGGAATGATTGAATACCTAATATATGTGTCTTTAATTGTACCCACAGTTCCTTATTTACATTATCACCCATCCTAGATGCAGAATTAGATGACAAGTTAAGGTTATGTTTGAGAGGAGCCAGTATGTTCAATATCTATTATCTTTTTAAAGAAAATTTGTTTCAGTTAGTTTGCATTATGAAGATGTGTGTATGTGTACACTCACACACACACACACACACACACACACACACACACACACACACACACCCTTAGCTAAATTTCTGTTTTTCCTTTGCAAATTTATATACATAGTCATGAAACTGAGAGAGTGCAACCACAGTGTGTTTTTTAGGAGACATTTTCTCTTTTTACCAGTTGGTACTCTACGTTTTTTCACCCCATTTAGTTGCTTTAAAATGTCAGATAATGATTGGGAATAAAATATAGCTAGTATTTATATAGCGCTTTGAGGTTTGCAAAGCACTTAACAGATTTCTCATTTTATCTTCACAACATTCCTGGGAATTAGGAACTATTATCGCCATTTTACAGATGAGGAAATTGATGGAGAGAGACATTAAGTGACTTGCCCAGGGTCACACAGCTAGTAAGTATCTGAGGTCAAATTTGACCTCAGGTCTTCCTGCCAGGTGGCTCAATGGATAGAGTGCCAGACCTGGAGTTAGGAAGATTGATCTTCCTGAGTTCAGATCTGGTCTCAGACACTTAGTAGCTATGTGACCCTGGTCAAGTCACTTTGCCTTGTTTGCCTCATTTTCCTCATCTGGAGAAGGAAATCACAAACCACTCCAGTATCTTTGCTAAGAAACTGCAAATGGGGTCATGAAGAGTTGGATGTGACTGAAAATGACTGAGCTACAACTTCCTGACTCCAAGTCCAGCACTCTATTCACTGCACCACTTAGCTGCCTCACCCAATAATTATTCATGTTACTGTTCATTCTTTCCATGTGTAATCTATGCCTGGATTTGTTGTGAATGTTCTTTTTAATTTGTTTGATACTTTACCTTGCACATAGGAGTGGTTTCTTATATGATATATGGGCCATGCTTGTCAATCACCTCTTTGGAAATTGCCTTCCAAGCTTGTTTCCAAATCACATGAACAGAAAAATAAAATACCTCTTTACTTTCTTGTCATAGCTAGTTTTTTTTGAAAATTTATTTACAATGTTTGGGGGGAGGGAGGGTGGTCTGTTACAGCAGAGTTAAATGCAACCACAGGGACCATTCAGTCCAACCTCTCCATGAAAAATATCTTACTTGATGAGGGGTCATCCAGTTGTTGTGATCAAGTAGAATTCTCACTGATCTTAATTCACTGAGACTAGGTTCTAAATGACTTTTGCCTATTAAAAAAAATCAAATTCACTCGTAAAGAACAGTTGCCCACATTGATGGTACATGTAAGAATGTGTGACAAGGCTTAAAAGGCAGCTCCCAAAGAGGAGATCAAGAAATGTTTTAAGAAATGAAAAGTAGTATCATTGGACTATATAGTCTCTAAAGGTGATGATTTTGAATTGCATAGTACTCTTGGTTTGTCATGAAATTTTGAGGGATTTGGCTTAAAAAAAATCAGTCTTAAGGAACTTTAAAACCATATATTGCCTAGCAGGTTTTGATGTGCGTTTCTAGAAGGAATACCTTACTCAGAGCACTCAACAACAGTAAAATTACAAGCCCAGTAAAAGAAAAAACAAAACAAAACTTCTAAGCCCACCTCCCAGGAGCCACCACCATTTTCCATTGAGATTGGAAAGTTTCAGTCTTGGAGCTCACAAATTGGTGATGCGCCCACGTATCAAGACTGTGCCAGTTCTGAATAGCTCACCAACTAAAAAACAAGAATTCTGGCTCTTCTGCTTTCTAGCTATATCCCTTGGCCTCAGTTCCTTCATTTGTGAATTAAGGCTAATGATTCCTGTCTTGTCTGATACCTTCCAGGGTCAGTGAAAGTGCTTTGAAAACTATAAAGTGCTTAAAAATATGTAAGAGTATTATTCAGTTGAAAGGTTTTGTGGGGGAAGGGAGTTGTAAGCCAAACAAAATTAAGAAACCTCTCAAGATAGACAATAAGGACTGTCCTTCATCCTGAATCCAAGGAAGGGTATAGAAGAATCAGTGGTTTACACCTTTGCTTTAAAGTACTTTTAAAGGACAGAGCGTGAGCATCTTAGCTTAGGAATGACCAGCAGAAGGGCACTTTCGACCATAAGGAAGAAACATGTGTCTGTAACAGCAATCAGCTGCAGGGATCTCATCATTTTGCCACCAAGAGCCCTTCCCATGTGTTCTTTTGGCTCTTACTCAGTTCAGTAAGTCACTTGCCAGCAGTGAGGGCCAACTTTTGTTTCTGTATATTAAGGGAAGACGTGACTTAATGATGGATGCTGATCTCTGGGGTGAAGTAGGAATTGGAGGTGTAGGGGTGGTAGTGGCAAATGCCATTTAAAGTGAAAGTTATCTCATCAGCAACATGTGGAGAAAGCCTTTGATTCCTCAAATAAAACTTAGGATGATACTTAATAGAAGTTTCTAAAGCCAAAACCCTCAATGAGTATCTGATATTGTTAACTCAGAATTTTTTTTTTCTCTGTTCTGTTAAAAAACTGCTTTTTTTTTCTAGGAGAGGATTTCATGGTTTAAACAATTTATATTTTGAAGATATATTAACAGTGCTGTTATATGTTTTGTAATGTGAAACCTACTGTTGGTTGGTGTGCATACACAAAAAAAAATTTTTACTCGTTATAATTTCAGTCTAGTCACTGGTCATTTCTAAAGTACTAATTCCTAATTTTGGTCCTGAGATTTTATTTTCACCTTTGGAAAAGAAAATTGTAACTACATACCAGTGGTCCACGGGGGTGGCAGATAATGGGATGATTTTACAAATGCAGACTGTTAGGCTGAATTTACTGCTGTTTTTGGACAATGACAAGCCTTTTCTTATAGAAAATTCTGAATTTTTTCTCTTTTATACCTGCTGCAGAATGCAGTGCGTCATAATCTTAGTCTTCACAAGTGTTTTGTGCGAGTAGAAAACGTTAAAGGGGCAGTATGGACAGTGGATGAAGTAGAGTTCCAAAAACGAAGGCCACAAAAGATCAGTGGGTATGTCCACCATGTTTGAACTTCTTAGCCTAGCTTGGATCATGCTTACAGTTTCACGTAGAGGCTTTTGGCTGCTAGACGGCATTAGACGAAGAAGGCGGTTTCACGTTGTTTCAGTTAAGGGAACAAAAAAGCATTTCATCACTACTGTTTGTATGCCCACCAGTCTCCCTGACCCTGCTTGCTTGGTGTCCGTTGCATCACATGCTAGTAGCTTGTAGGCGGCAATGCATATTAACCCTCACAAACCATTTGCTTATGCTTATCGCATTTTATTTTCTTTTTCCTTTTCCTTGTATTTGATGTCTGTTCTACCCCCAATCCCGCGTCCCTTTGTTTCCACTTCATCTCCTTTGCTGCTGCTCTTGTCCCAGGGTGCCATTCGCACCAACCTCTCCCTGCATAAGTGCTTTATCAGAGTAGAGGATGAGTTTGGGTCCTTTTGGACTGTTGATGATGAAGAGTTTAAACGTGGCCGCCATATTCAACGAGGCCGTCCTCGAAAATACTGCCCTGATGAAAACTTTGACGAGCTTGTTGCACAGTAAGACTTTTTACTTGCTTTTATTTTTTTTTCTGCTGTTGCTTTGCTTTGCATGGTTGACTCATCTCATGTAGTTTTGCATTTCACCAATAGTGATGCCACACGTTCTTACAATGGAACTAAGTTTTGTGATTGTACATGTATTTCTCTTGTTTCTCTCAATACCAGTGCCTTGAATAATGCTTTTTTGACATCTTTAATGCAAATGTGGGTTGTAGCAGGATTCAGCAACTTATTGTGACCCTCTAATTGAACAGTTGATAGTGACCCTGTAATTGAGATATATTGTTCCAAGTGGAAAGGCAACTCTTACTTAGGTTTGGAATTTGCATTTAATGAGACTCAGGTTAATCTCTTCCTACTGTTCATTCAGCATAACAATATAAGTGTAATGAAATGAATGATTAAAATGCTCCAAGCATTGGAAACAATTATTAACTTCTAAACATCTTAAAGATGCAATTTAATTCACAAACATTTCTTAAGTGCCTACATGGAAAGATCACCAAATGTAAGCAGTCTTCCTATTGGAAGCAGAAATTTTCCCCATTGTGTCTCTTGTGTGCTGATTTCATATTTTGACTCTTGTTAAGCCATTGAGATTTAAATACTATCTTGACCTGGTCCATTTAAAAAAAAAAGTCAGTGCCAAATATCCTTCTGTGAAACTCTTGAGTTACAGAACAGCTGCAGATCTGCATTAGTAAAGGAAGTTTCTTCACTAGGATGTATTTTATATATACATTTTTATATTATATGGTATTATGCTCTACTATGTTGTACCTTATTATACTATGCCATATTATAATCTTCTTCCCAGGTTTGGACCTAGTACCAAAGTTTGGCACAAAATGAAACCTTCTGCCATCCCCAGAAATATCCTCCTTCCTATGTCCTGTTAATAACTAAATGGTGCCCCAGAGGCCACGGCCGAGGACTAGTCCACTGTTTCCCGACCAGTGGGTTCCATACATTCTGGCTTTATTAAGTGTCCAAGCACTTGCTCCATCAGCCTTGCTCGTCAGTGTCATTAACTAGTTCATGGCAACATACTTACTGCCCTACATCGGCTGGAGCTTTCTTTTTTTTCCCATCAGACTTTTGGTTTTGATAGAGTTTTGGGATGGAAGGATGTCCTGCAAGATTTCTTGTTTGTGATAGCAATTCCTTTCTCCAGTGGACAGCCAAGACTCTAGTACTACTACATAATGCTTAGCAAGGCTTTCAAGCAGGTGAGCCTTAAATCACAAATGCCCAGTTTCTAGGTTTCTAATTCATATGAACAAATGTAACCTAAATATAACAGTTTATTGATGTTGTTGTTGTTGTTGTTTTTCTGGGAGAACCTACCAAATGTGTATTTTTCTGGTTTGGAAGGAAAACCAACAGACTTGAAAACAAAACTTACAGAGTAAATGGAGAGTTGATTTTATTTAACTTTGAGTTTTTATCTTTTTCTTATGCAGTAACCCTTCTCTTATTAAAAATATACAGAGCAGCCACGCCTACTGTACACCTCTCAATGCTGCTTTACAGGTAAGATTAATGACTGTACCAAAGATACAACAGAGGCATGTGTCTTCCCCACTCGTTTCAAAATATATTAGCCTTGCTCTAATTAGATATTAAATTTTAATTCCGTTAAACTTTTTTCTTAAGTGCACAAAGCATCATAGTCCCTGGAGGCAAACACATATCAGGCTGCTTCGGCATTAGTCGGATGCTTAGCATTTTGAATATTGTGGCAAAAAAATTAAAAGTTCACTTATTAATATTTATCAGCAGTATCATAATTTCCATCCTCTTATTTCAGAATTTCACTTGAGGCAAAAATACCACAAGTGTAATTACTCTAGCACAGCTATTAATGTGCTGAATGATAGGATACTATGTCACATGACCTTCTATTGTTCCTGGCTTTAAAGAGAAAGCATATCTTTTTTCTTTTAAAGTCTATTTTAGCATGTTTTTCTTTTGTTCTGAAATCACTGTTTAGTTCACTCTGTAAAAGTGAACTGATGATACAGATGTTTTTGTTTAAACTATAGAGATGTTGGAGAAAACGTCTTTGGATTTTGTGCAAAACAGGCAAGGTTATGTAACATGCCCATAGAATTTCATGTTGCCTATGGGTTCAGAGCACATTACATAATCTGCATTTCAGAAGAAGAGGACGAGTCAATATTAGGCCGACAGAAGTTTGCTTCTGTCTCAGGTATTACCAGGGAAGGTTAGTGGTTGGGCATTCCTTCCACTGCATCCTCATTCTGGTGTGTTTGAGCCTATGTTAGGATGAGAGGGAGTACAATGTTTGCAGAGGGTGAGCGGGTTGTTTCCAAACCCTTTAAAAATACTCATGTAACTTTTAATTAAATTACCTAAAGAGTATCTATTCTAGGTCCTCAGAAATTCCTCATCCATGACCAGGCTACTCCTGAGGAGTTGGGGGTGTGTCAATGTTTCGCTTTTTTTTTTAAACATTTGACTTAGCAGATTAGTTCTAATGAGTTTTCAAAACTTTTAAATAACAGTTTCTAAAAACTGAAAATGCAAACAAAGATCAGGAAAAAGCATTAAGTGGTTAGTGATTTGCACAGTGCCCCCCAGCTCTCTGTAGGGGACAGGATCCACACATCACTCAGTTCTGGATAAACTCTCAATAAAGGATTAAGTGTATTGTGCACAATTAAATTTGGGAGGGAAATTGATCAGACTTATCATTTAAGCAATTTCATTTTTTTCCCTAAGCAGGAAACAAATTAATCGGAGAAATGACTTTCTGCATTTCTTTTAATTATTTTAGTTGACACAGTAACTTCAGAAAAGCAAATGTGAAAGCATGTGTAAAGGCAGCCACTGTAAATACCATTCATTAGTAACTTATTTTCCCTGGAGTCGTATGAAGTGTGAATTTAAAGGCTGCTCTGTCTCTGGAATAGTATTAAGATTACAGGCACATTTTACATTCATGAGGCTGAAAGGCAAAAATGAAATGATCCTGCATTCCTCTGGATTCTGTTAACTATGTGACTAATTTCAATTAGTATGCTTCTCATTACAGAACTGTTCATGTTTTATTTCTGAAACATGTGGTGATGTCGTCATCTTTATCCATTCCTGTTTTCTTTGATAACCCCAAAACTATCTTCAGATTTTCCAGGAGAGTAGATTCTCTCTCTTTTGCCCACAGTAGGTCTAGATGAATGAATTAATTCTGATCAAAGTCTTAGGAGTTTTTTTCTCCTCTGCTATTTTGGATCCTTGTGAATAGACAACATCATAAGACACCTCTCTGCTAGCTTAATTAAATGAAGGAGCTAAGCAATGTGGTCATACTCCCAGTGATTCTTCCATTGTCATCCATTTCCAGAGCGAAGCAAAAATTTTAAAAAATGGCATAATCCCTTTTCCAGAAAAAAAATGAAAATCTTAAGGAACATGATGTGGCATTCAGCATAGCATGGTACACACCATATAAAGTGGGACCACATGATCTACTACAGAAATAAAGCATGGAACTCATTAAGCCTAGGAATCGTGATAGTAACTAAGGGTAACAGTAATGCTTTGCATTTATAGAGTTCCTTTTTCCAGAGGATCGCAAAATGTTTTACTAACATGGATGGGGAATATTTCAAGTGCTTCTGAAACATTATTCAAGCATTTCGGTTTTTTGGCAGACATACAAACCCTGAGGTGAACTTATAGCCTATACCCTTTTTTGGGGAAAGCCCATAAGAAATTAAGTCCATTTCAGGAAAAAAAAAATTATCCACCTGTGTCTGTACTTATATTCCAGCTAAGGAACTGTACTGTAAGCCACAGTCAGTTAAAGTGTTGAATTTGGGGCCATTGGTCAGGTTATCTTTACCTTTAGCCTAGGTCACGCAGCTCATCCCCTAATCACAAAGTTCTCATGTGTTCTAGAAAAGTAGCATTAACTCTTCTCCTGTCGGCTCCTCTTTTCCTGGAGTCAGAATTTGTAGGCTTCTTTTCCATTCTGTGTGCCACGGTGTGAGTGCATAGTGGTCGGGCGTTCTTAATTGGAAAATATGTGCGTATGTATTTATCCAGGTTTTCCCAGTCTTGGCTATTCTTCCTCTCCTGAGCTCCTTTTACAAAGGTAAAATTAGAAACTTCCTTTGTAGAGCAAGGAATGAGATTAAGGCAAGGAAGGAAAGTAAACGATTGTCCCCGGAAGTGGTTGCCCCATCTACCTTCACCTCCTGTATTGGGGTAGCATAGAGACTAGTCTCTGAAGACTGAAAGAAAAAAAGTGTTCATCTTATCCCTCCTGCTGCAATGTTTCTAGAGCACTGGCGGGATTTATAATTAGCCTCCCTCCACCCCTCAGAAGTTCTTCCAATAAGTCTCAGTGCTGATGCCGTTTTGCTCTTTGGCTTGAATTCAAGATACCGCCATCCTAAGATGGAGGCTCTATCATTTCTGCCCAGGTTGACACCATGAAGTAATGAAAATATCAGGAGAGAAACCTGATCTCGTGACATTCCCACTTCAGAGAAGTTGGAGTAATTGTCCCCAAAGAACTGCCCATTATTTGCTGAGGCGTGACCATTGGGTTTCAGCGAAGGCAGCTAGGAGGGCTCTTGCCCAGCTGCAGTTTGCAAAAAATAATTCTGGCAATTGCTTTTTCTCCTTGCTCTGCCAAAAAAAAAATGCTTTATTGCAATTACAAGAGATCTGTATGGAAAAAGTACTTGACTTAAATTATTTCACAAACTGTAGGAAAGTAGGGAGTGCTCCGAGTTGCTGTTCATCAAAATGAGTTCACCACATTTGGAAACAAAAACAGAGGAAATAACCCTCTGATTTCTTTTTTTTAAAAAAGGCAGCTATATAAATTCAAATGTGGAGAGGAAGAATCTAAGGCTCTCAAAGAGACTGGCCTTGGCACTAGTCCATCAGCCCCAGCTGTGTAGGTGAGTTAGCTTAGCCCCCCAAATACGTGGCATGTAGTGGGAAGTCGTTTATGGATTGGGGGTTTATACCACGTGTGAGGCTGGGATCATTTTAATAGGCATTCATTCTCCTTGCTGCTCAGCTACACAACTTCACATCTTGTTGCCTAGGGCCTCCCCCCCTCCCCACCTCACCCCCCATGCACAAAGGAAAGCTCTTCTTTTCTTTGGTATCAGGATTTACCCAACTCTCTGGGCCTATCGTGGAACTTTGTTCACACAGGATGGAAAATCAGGCCTATACTGTAGGATCAGGGAGATGCTTTTGATCATTTCTGATCTCTGACTAGGGTTGCTGAAGCTTATCCTCTGCAGAAAAGTTCACTGGGGCACTGTAACAAAACAAACTATTTAGGTACAGTAGTGTACTTAATGATTTCAACCAGTGTGGTGTCTCATTCCCCAAATTATAGGACAAGTATTAAAATTGGATGGGAAGCCAGCAAGAAAACATAGCATGTTGAAGGGCTACATTTCAGGTCTTTTTTTCTCATTTTTTACTACTCTTTTTCTTGCCCTCCAGAGTTGCCTCATGATTCTGGATCTCTTTGTCTACTTAAACGTGAAAAAAAAAATCACATACTTAAACACCTAGGAGAGAAGAGATATTTAACCTGCCTCCCTTTTTTTTTAAAGGACATAAAATATTTCAGAAAATATTTTGTTACCATCAAAAATTCACCTATAATAGTTATACATAATTTTTTTTTTAAAAAATCATTAAGCAGGGGAAATATATATATATATATATACACACACAAATATATGATTCATATTTTATAATCTGCTTCCTTTCTGTAGGGTAAATGTTTATGGAAGTTCTCATAAGTTGGAGCTGTGCAGTCAGAATAATCCTATCAAATCTATAATATCCAATAGTGGCATTATAAAGATGGATAAAGAAATGAAAATTGCATTATATTTCACTGTGATCTGTAAATATTCAATTCTTCTTGAAAAGAAAGCACCAGACAGAAGCCTCATATTCTGTAGTCCCTTCTCAGCCATGCATTAGTACTAAATGCATGGAACCACTCAATCGGGGTTAGATCCCATTTGGGGAAGGGAGGCTTCCTTCCTCAAGCCCTCCTCACAGGTGTTAGTATCTGGAGAAAGACATTTTCCTGTTTCTTGGGGTTAAAGTATACAGTGATAAGAATTTCTTCAGACTTAAAGCTTGAAGTATAATGTAACATTTAGAGTTCTTGAATTTATTTTCTTTTTAAGCAAATTATACGATTGCTCTGACTCCAAATCCACTAGAAGCTCTGTTTGCCAGGAAGCAGCGCCTATGAAAATGAGCTCATCATGATTTAGTAAATGAACCTATAATACACCCCACCTATTTATCATGTGTTTGTCTTTCTAAGCCTTATTTCTTCATAGACTCTTTCTGTGTTGTTGGCAGGCTTCAATGGCTGAGAATAGTATACCTCTCTACACTACTGCTTCCATGGGAAATCCCACTCTGGGCAATTTAGCCAGTGCTATGAGGGAAGAGCTGAATGGTGCGATGGAGCATACAAACAGTAATGAGAGCGACAGTAGCCCAGGCCGTTCCCCTATGCAAGCAATGTAAGTATAGAAAAACATGGGCAGCTAGATGGCACAGTGGACAAAACTCCGGCTTTGGAGTCTAGAGGACCTGAGTTCAAATCCAGCCTCAGACACTTGACACTTACTAGCTATGTGACCTTGGGCGAGTCACTTAACCCCAATTGCCTCACCAAAAAAAAAAAAAGAAAGAAAGAAAAACATGGCAGGTACATTCTTGACACCGATGACCGGGGAAATTTTGGACAATGATCCTATTTTCTATCAGAGGTGGGGAAGGGGAGAGTTCCTTTTCTGAAATTCCCATTGACCTAGGTATTGGTACAAATTGGAGTTTCTGGAAATGTTTTGAGAGACTTGAGGATGAAAAGAGGCCACTGAACACCTTTCATATAAAGGTAGTGGCATTATCTCATTCTACAACTGCAAACAGAGATAAAGTTAACTCATTTGCTCTTCTCTTCTTTAAAGCCTAGGCCAGCATTAGTGCAATATCATCATCATCATTACTATTGTGCATTTCTATGAAAATATTTTTGATTTGCCCAACTTTTCAACATCTCAAGATTTGGGCCTCAGGTAGATTAAAGGGGAGAGGAAGGAGAATGAGTAGTACAAGGAGGGGGAAAAAATATGCTTGTTTACTAAGTTGTATGATAAGCTTAAACTAACATTCCAAACACAACATAATTTCCAGGCATTAATGATGGCATATAGGAAAGGCTACATGATTTATAGATTGCTCTTAAAATATCAAAAGGAAAATTAATAGGAGCATTATAGCAGCAGACGGCAGTATAATGAGTGCATATATAACTGAATGAAATAATGGGAGCTTGCTGTCCATGCTAACTGTGAATGGCAACCAGGCTGCTCTGTACAATAGGAAAGGGTAAGGCAGGAAGGGTGTGATGCCCCTGTGGGTGTGTGCAGTATTTATGGGGTGAAAGAAGTGAGTTTGTGTGACTGTAAATAACCCTGTCCCTCCCAAAAAAAGACCAGAAAGAAATGATTATTTGAATACTTGAGAAGGAAGCTGGAGTTCTAAAGGTCTCAAGATTCGTGTTGATTTGGGGAGTTGACCTCTTTAAGGAAATGAGGCATTTTCATGTTTGTCACACTCTCAGCACTTGGTATAGTTTGCTTATCAACACTTTTAGCAAGTGAGCAAACCTTAGGCCACGATTTTCCAGCCACATTTTCCAGCATCTCGTTTTAAGGTCATGTCAGCGACTGAAATGAAACAGTGGGAAAAGATTTAATCTGTTGTGGTTAGAATCAAAGAGAATCAACATATAATGATGTCCCCCTTGCCCTGTTTTTTTTTTTCCACCTCCATATTCAGGGTAGGTGGGGAGGGAAATCTAAAACTCAACATATTTTAATATTCTAGCAGTATGACTTTACCAGCAGCAGGACTCCTCAGAAGAGCTTTAAACTGGCAATAGGCATTTTCAGTTAAGATGGACAGACCCATTTTAAAATGTTGATGCTGCTGTTAGTGACACCAATAGTTTTGTGTTCTCCAATGCTAATGTGAATATATGTTGTTTTCATCTTTATCATTGATGTCCCTCTGCCTTTAAGATATTGAGGTAGTTTATTCTCAGTTGTGTAGCAGTGATTAAAGTCCCCAATATTTAGTTGATGGAGTGACCCCAGATGATAGGCAATCTGGGAAATGTTCCCATTGATCACCGATAGGAATCAGGATAATGTGCGAGCAGCATTTTGGGAAAGCAGACTCAGAACTCATATCCACTAAATACGGTCCATGCAGTCATGCCATTTATTTAGGAATTTCATGTTCACCCAGCCAATTTCCAGGTGATATTTGGGATCCTGGAGTTTAGTTCTGTAGAAAAATGTGGTCTCTGAGTTTCTAGTGAAACTTGGGTTTCAAAATGCTTTTGAAAGAAGGCAAAATGAGTACAGAATGTTGCTCAAATCTCACAGGTTTACCCTGTTTGCTAAATGTAATTATATGTCAATAGCAGATTTCCTCTGTCTACTATCAGTGTCATAGACAGTTACTCTTTGTGACCTCTTATTTCCATTAAGTGCATTTTCTAATGGCATTTTTTCATTCTCCTCCAATATGCACTACCCTGCTATGATGCAAATTGTTTTTTAACTGTTCCAGGATATTGGAATAAATCAAGCCTTAAACTTTATCACCGAGTTTAAAGGACCTTGTTAGCATGGCAACCCAGCTAATATGTAGCAAGTGCTCCAACCAAAGTCTTCATTCTTCCCAGTTTTTCTGACACTCAAATACCACTACTTTTATTTCTCTTTTGAAACACTAGAAAGGGGTCGTCTAATTACAGCTTCAAGACATAACACTTTCATCCCGATGTGCTCTAAAAGGTGGCTACAAAGCAAACTGCTTCATGCTGTGTATACCACCAGAACGCCATTCCTTTAAACAAATTAGTTTTATTTAGAAAAAAAGAAAAGAAGCTCCCTCTCCCAGAATGGACAAACAAAAGAATTACTCAGATGTCAGAAGAAGGGAAAGTTGTGGTTTATCACGGTTGCTCTTTGTTAACTCTTCTACAAGCAGTCTTTCTGTTTTCAAAAAGAAGAGGGGAAGGGAAATGTGGATCGAGCAGCCTCTCCCTTCTGTGTCATGGGTGACTTTCAGTGAAACACAGTTTTAAACTAGTTTGGGATATGTGATTTATCTGGAATGAGATGCTCTGCAATGTCTCATATTTTCCAGCCATGCACTTTTTATTATCTAAAGCAGTACACCCCATGTCTGGTTTTGTGATACCCCAAGATGTCTAGTGATATCTTATCTCAATCTCAGCCATGAATTTTAATTTTGGTTTCATGTTAAAAATCAAAACAGTCCACTGTGCCATTTCAGGGTAAGAGAGACAGAGGGAATTCATTCATTCAATAAGTATGTATTAAGTTTCTAATAAGTATATGGCACTGAAATCAAACAAAGTAAAGAGGAGATGCTTCCCCTGGCTTCACACATCTGCAAATGCAGCATTTGAGTTAGGGCTCTGAGATCACAGAGAATGGTATGTCGTGAAGTATTCAAAGATCATACCATCCTTCTTCATATTTCTATGGAGCAACTTGTGCAGGTCAGCCCCTCTTCAGTTTTAGGGAGTGTTCTCTTTCCCCCTCCCCCCAGCGTCCTAAAACAAAACGAATTTCTTCCCATTTTTTTTCTGATGCCATGACTCAACTCATCTCATTTTCAGAACTTGTTACAAGTAAAATCAAAGGCTTCAAAGTCTATTAGTACTGAAAAACCAAAGGGAGGAAAGTAACAGTATCATCTGTGCTCTTTATAAATGAAAGAGAACAGGGCAACCTATGTCCTTGACTCTCTAAGATAGTGGAAGGAATGAGATGAACACAGAGAGATCAGATGACTTCACCTGCATGTGGCATAGCTGAAAGTGTAGTAGAGAGCTCTGTTAAATTTTTGTTTAAATTTTTAAATTTTTTGTTCTAGTTATTCATGAGAGTATGAGCTTGCTTTAAAGAAAAAAAAAGTCTTTTTTCTAAGAACCATTCCTCAAACTTTATCCAAGTTGCATTGAGGTTGAAACCATTTAGTGATTGAGAGGTTTCTATCTTCCTGAACAGTCCAGGGCAGGGATTCTTGACCTGGAGTCCATGAACTCTCAAGGGTGTCATTGGATGGATTTCTTGGGGGGGGGGGGTGCATCTGTGAATTTGTGCTTTTAAAAATATTTTAATAACTGTATTCAGTTTGATCAATCTCCTTTGTAATCCTGTGTCTTGTATTTTAGGCATTTAAAAGTATTGTTCTGTGAGAGGGTCCATAGAGGCTTCCTCAGACTGCCAAAGGGATCCGGAACACATCAAAAGGGTTCTGAATCTCTGGTCCAAAGTTATATTCTGCTTGTTTTTAATATGGTTTATCCTCTTTGTTTAGCATTTGTACTGACGTCAATTATTCAATAAGCCAGTGGTCTCCATTACTGTTTCTTAGTCCTAATGTGTGATAACGTCAATAAAAAACCAGTCCTTTTCCATTGATAGCCCCACCAAGGAGACCATGATAACGCAAATGGGTATTTTACATATCAAAAGCCCCAGAACAAAAAAAGTAATTTGTATTTGTAAAGGATCGGTTGTAAATATGATTTACGAACAACATTTCTCAATTGTTATCATAGCAGTTTTGTATGATCACCCCACACTCCCCTGCGGGTTATTCATGGGCTAGTCCATAATGAGAAATTTGGCAGATCTCATCTCCGTAGAGCATGCTGGTGCCCACCGTGAAGCCGGGGATCGTGTCTTGCCTTGTTTACAGCTGACAGTGTTATTATTCTCGTTAGGGTTCTGCTCTCTTATCATATTGTTGTGTCGAGCGGGCCTTTTCCTCGACGTTTGTGTTTCCTGGCAGGGCTTTTCTTCCCTTATTGACAGTTTGTAAAAATATGCATTAATTTGGAGTTTCAAGCATGTATCATGGTGTCTCTTTGCTGTGTTTGCTTGAAGTTGATTAATGATAGAACCTCACTTGGGGTTGTCCTCTGGAGAGTTGTTTCACAGGTTCTGCATGTTAACTAGAGAAACAGAGCACACAGCTCGCAATGATTAGCCCAGACTCCGGGAGCTCAGTGGTATGACAAACCAGCATTTTGTTGTACAGATGTTTATTTCACTTATTTATTTGAAGATTGTATTAATCAGTCCAGTGTGTCTACCGAGAGCGTAATCTCCAAAGGGCTGAAGAGATAATCCAAAATAAAAAGGCCTCTTTTCAGGGAAGTTTTTTTCTGGGCACCAAGTCATGACAGAATGACTTATGTGTTCCCTAAGAAAAAAAGTAAAAAGTTTAATATTCTCTGGAAAGACACAATTATACTAATAATCTTACCCATGGAGTACTCCTAATTAAATTGGAAACTTTGCTCATTGGTCATGTTTTTCCTTCCTTAGGCACCCTGTGCATGTCAAAGAGGAACCTTTAGATCCAGACGAGAATGAAGGTCCACTCTCCTTAGTGACAACAGCCAACCACAGTCCAGATTTTGATCACGACAGAGATTATGAAGATGAACCTGTAAATGAGGACATGGAGTGAATGTTTGATAACCTTACCCTGAGAAATGAAGATTGGGAAAAAAGAAAAACAAAAACAAAACACGTCAAAGTCCGCTGTGAAATCTCTCCATTATTGTACAGTCTGGGAGATTTTCACTCCATTTTGACAACTCTGAAATGTGTTAACTCTTAGTGCCATCAAGTATCCCATTTGGGAGTATTTTTGATTTTTCTACTTTTTGTTGAAAAAAGGAATTTGTACTCTGTGCATTGGATGGACTTGTTTGGTACTTGGGATTTTCCTCTCTTACAGTCAATATCAGTGTTGTAAATTTGCTAAACTGATTCACTTACATTTAGCAGCAGACTTTGGACTGCAGTCCTGCCAATCACAGACACTGAGGACGTCAGACTGAGCATGTTCACCCAAACTGCAGATCAAGCCTTTGCCCGGATTTTAAGGATTCCAATGGACCACATATTTGCACAGTACTTACTGCATGCTGATTATCACTGCCTTTACTCCATTTTTTTTTTTTTTGCTTCCATTTGGGATGGGGAAGACCTCTGTGTGTGTATTGGGGGGTGGGGTTAAAGAATAATTATCCCAAACTTTTTAATGTATTGCTTTTTTTTTTTTTTTTTTTTTTGGCTTCTACTATACCATTTTAAGTTCTGACCTCAGGCCTCAATTTGGGCCCAGGGCCTCTTTGAGGCTTTAATGTTTTCTGTACTCTGTGATGAATGTTAATAGGTGTTTTTATTATACAAAGCTGAATGTCATTTTCTTGTTTGTAGTTTTCTGTCATTCATTCCAATTTCCTTCAGATAGCACCTATGTTTTCTTTAAATTCAGAAAACATTCCGTTTTGGTCTTTGCAAGAAGGTCCCAAATGCTGCACTCTGCCCCAGTGAAGGTTGTCCAACTCCAAAGGATGAAATCCTGCAAGAATGAGAATGAATGACAGACAGACAGAGAAACACTGTAGAAAGCAACGCAGATTCATTCCACAAAGCAGTATTTGGGAATTTTGTCTTAGGGTTGTTTTCTTGGCAGCCACAGTGATCATAAATGCCACCTCATCTGTAACATCACCAGGATATTTAGCACCAATTGAATTCAGTAGCAGCTAGTATCAGTCAATCAAAAAGCATTTATCTTGCAAGAGCCTACTATGTGTCGGGCACTATGCTAGGCACTGGGGACACAGACAAATAAGAGTGCAGTGGCAGACACTCCCTTGTTTGACACAAGCTTGGATGGACCACCAGCTCTCTGAAGTAGTCGTAAGGATCTGTGTAGGGTACCCACATGGGTTACTTTGTCTGCAAAGTGGTGAAAAATGTCACAGACTTCACACAAAATACCATTCCTGAAAGTAGTGGTGTGGTAACTTAATGTAGGCATCCATCCATCCATTAAGGACTGCTTGGTGGCATTAATCTGCTTGAATGCAAATTCGATTTCAGATTGAACTTGTTATGGAAATTGTTAAGGACTGAGCCCAGGAAATGTTAAAGTGTTAACGATTCCAATTGTGCAAATTCTGTACTACGGTTTTGTTGGTTCTGCAATATTTCTATGCCAACTCGGCTCACACAATCAGAGTGAGAGATATAGCGGCGGTCTCAGGACTGGAGCTTGCCTTTTGGAGCTCAGCGGTTGTCAGCACGCACCATCGGGAGAGAAAGCTGGAATTCTCCGTCAGTCCCTTCAGTCACGAAACACCTGAGCATGTTCATTCTGCAATCACCGTTGTCACTCAGTTATTTATGTAGGATGGTAGCTTATTTTTTATTTTAGTTTGAAAGCCTTTCAGAGCTTAATTTATATTCTCCTTTGTACTTTTTTTCTAAAATTACCAAAGATATTACACAAAGGTAAATTATGTTCTCTGTTATATGCTTTATCTTATGAAGCCAAATATCCTCTTCTTGTTGATCAAAGGAGGTGAAAGAATTTAGTGGGAAATGACAAGATATGGGCTATTGGTCACCTGAGAGAGAACTGCTCCTTTATTCTATAATAAATTTAGAAGGCCAAGTAGGTAATGGAACCAAAGTTGTTGCTTTTTTTTTTTTCTTTTTGTGCACCTCTACAGTGACTGAAGCTCACTACTGTAAGGAAAAATTATGGGGGCTATCAAGAATCAAAGTAGGGAACCAGTATTAAAGGAACTACAGAAAGGAAGAACTCTCCCATGACAAAAAAAAAAAAAAAGTGAATGTATGTTGCAGAAAATTAGTGTATCCAATAAAGGAGACAGTTAAATAAAATTCAGAGAGAACAAGAAAAGCTTCCATGATTGAACTGGGACATATAATAGATTTTTCTCGGGGGAAAATGTTTGTTTGACAGATTGTATGCCACTTTATTTTTTAAAGGATTGTGCTCAGATCACATCTTGAATTTTGGTTCATCTTGGCATAATTTCTCAGTTTTTGTTCTTTAGGTTTTGTTCACCATTTTCTACAAAGAAATAACACTCCTGTCCACTCATAAACTTGGTACAAGAAATAGAAACTTGATTGGCAGTTACTCTTTGGAGCTCCATCCACTCTGCTCCCCACCATACAAAGGGCAGTCTGTGGTCATTTTAACTTACCCTGATGTGCGGGCAGTAGCCCGATGGGATCATGAGAAGTGGGCCCTGTGTGTCTAAACTGAGTGGGTTGCTGGCTAGTTCGGTATTCAAAAGAGGATAAAAATCTGGTAGATTAGTTCATTCTCAGCATGTGTAGCTAGACATGAGTAAAGAGAACAGCATGAGAAACTGTTAGTTCGCATACCTCAGTTCAAACCTTTAGGGAATGAGTAAAAGAAAAATACATTGCACTCAGTTGCACTTAGTTGTATGTCTTGCATGCTTAGTCTAAAGACTGTAGCAAAAAATAAAATAAAAAGAGAGAAAAATTAGATTTTACGTCTCTTGCGGGTGTCATGGCCTCGCAGAAGAACCAACTGAAAAAAAAAAAATCTCAGGCTTTCTTTCCGTCAAGCAAACTTCACTCTGGTTTTTACAGTTCTGATTCCGTATCCCTTTGGGTACCCAGTTGCTTCTTTCGGGTGGGGTTTATTATGTTGTACATATATAGCCCGCTGTGTCTGTGTGAGCCTTTGTCTTTTTCGGGGGAGGGCGGAGGGAGGTTCATTTTTTAGATATTGTTCCTAAAAAGGAATAAATGCATACACCTGTTTGTCAAAACACCTTTCTTTTTTTTGTGCAACTGCTTTATATTAACTATACTAAAAATAGCTTTGGAAAAAAAAAACCTACTGTATGTAATGGGATTGCAGAGTGTGCTGCACATGTATTTCATTTAGTTATCCTTGCTTTAAGAATATTGGATGACATTTCCTGACATGTGGGAGAAAAGCCCTGACCCTTTTTTTTTTTTTTTTGGCTTTTAAATTGTAACATAGTTGACAGATTTTGTTTTGTGTTTTTTTTTTCCTGTTATCATTGATTGAAGCATTTTGTACAGTTGTGGTTTTTTTTTTGTGTGTTAAGCTGGTTTTTTTGATACTCCCCGCCCCCCTTGTGTTATTCTACCACTGACATTTCTGGCTGTCTTCAATGAGTTCCTAACATTTGAAAAGGAAAAAAAAATGTTGTTGAAAATGTTTTCTCCTGCTGCAGTAAATATTTTGCATGATGAAAGTCCAGGGTCACACTTTCAAAGTTTATCAGTGAAGTAGTGATTATTAATGGGGAGTGTCAAAATATTGAACTTTTTGTATAAAAAAAAAAACTTTACAAGGTGCCAAGATGTAAAGACAATTTGTTACATGTTTTTTTTCTCAAAGAAAAGCGTACATTATGAAAGTAGTACCATGTATCAGGTAAACACGCTGTCAGGAATGAGGGTCCAGCCTTCCTTGTCCCCAGAGTTTGTAAATGTGAAACCTGTTTGGTTTCTGCATTTGACTAGCAGAAAAATGACCTATCAAGGCTTATGTAGAATAATTGTGTCTACCAAGCTGGCTGTCACTTTTTTGATGCTGACATAGGATGGTTCTTACCTAATTCCCAATGCTCTGTCTCAGAACTGCTATGGGATACCTCAGATTTTCAATCTACAACTACTGTGTAAATCACTAGATATTTTATCCAAAAAAAAAAAAACCTTTTTTAAGGGGGGGAGGGGGAGAAGCCTTGAGAATTCTTGTAGTTTTCAGATTACAGGTGAGCCCCGTTTCTTAAGAACACAAAGACTGTGCATAGAATGGTTTTAAATCTCTTTGGTACCTTTTAGTTAATAACTTACACCGAGTTTTGGGGATGTTTAGAAAAGAGTTTTAGCTTTCTTATCTCAAGGATCAAATTGACAGCTCCAGTGACATTTCATGGGCCTGCCATAGTTTATGAAATATCTGCTACACATAAGCCTTGATGAAAATGGTACAGTCTAGACTGTTAGCATGGTGCTGTGTGTGTATGTGCTGCCAGTAACGAGATTTTTTTTGATAAGGCATAAAAGAAACTCATTCCTTACATCAACTGTAATTCCATCATTCCATGTCTGTTGATACAGACAATAAAAAAAAAATGTTGTGTAGTCAGTACTAATTACTGACATTATAGCATTCTCAAATGCAATAAAAATGCTGGTTGTTCACACTGGTCGTACAAGTTGCCACAGACTAAGTTTTTTTTTTTTCTTTTTTTCCTCCCTGCCCTGCTGTTATGTATTAGTCGAATTGCATTAGGCTCCATTACCAGCTGCTTCAGTTACCTAATTACTAAAGTCAGCTTTCAAGAAAAGAGGGCGTGAAGCAACTTCTCCACACTTAGTGGACACACCAAGATCAAAGTAAAAATGTCCACTTAGAAAAACTTTGAGAAAGGAACTGACTTTTCTCTTGATTACACACACACTTATTTTCCTTATCAAATTTTATAAAGAAAAAATAAAGTGTTTAATAACTAGCATTAGTAGCAAACTGAAAATTCAGAGGAAAGTGATTTCATGAATAATTCATTAAAATTTCACATCTGCAAGATTAGTCATCCAAATAAAATGCTAATGTCAAAAAACATGCACCGTCTATAATATTCTCATCAAGAAATCTTTTGCATATAATGATAAATGCTTAGATTAGAACAAATGATTTTATAAAAATATTCTTATCATAAAATTACACTGGATAAATGTTACTTTCATGGGAAAAGAGTAGAACTTGAGTTACTAAATATTCTATCAAAATCATCTTGATTTTGAAAATTTGGTGACCTATCTTTAAAAGAAGTTGCTATTTCTCTTAGGTGTCTATTCTTTGGTGCAGATTTTTAGAGAAATATTTCAGAAAACAGACATCCTTTTTAATAAAAGTAAAATTGCCAGTGTATGGATGAGCAGCATTAAATGAGTGCCTAAACAACTATAACATAAAACCAAAGAATAGGAGACTTAGAGCACATCACTCAAACCGGTAGATGACTTTGAAATTGACCTTGCGTTTTTTATTTAAGCAAAACACCCATTGACACGAATGGGAGCATTATTGTTTTCCCCCCTTTCTTTGAAAAGAGGTCTTAAAGGGCATATTTGATAATGTTCTGGAAATCCATGTGCCTAACCTTAAATTTCAAACTCGCAGACTGTTCACTGATGCCATCTATACTCCAGGAACCCTTCACACAAGTATAAAACAAAAGTTAAAATAAGTTTATTTCCCATCCTTACCAGTGTACACACCATATCAGTGACTATTCATGGAAGATCTTTCATGTGGTCATTTGTATCCAAAGGGTCCTGGAAGTACGGATATTACAAATACAGTATTTGTAAAATCCCCAGTTGGTTTATACATATAAACTAGTTTATGCAAATCAGTTTATATGTATAAACCAACTATACGTTTTGCAAACATTTAATGTGTATGTGTATATACGCATATACACACACAGATGTATACATGCACACATACATGAAGATGTAAAGACAGTCTCCACTGATAGGTGGTTCTTTTAAATGTTGGCATTGAATTCAAAAGAAGTATCCCATAGTAAGTTTAATTCCACATTATTAACATACATTTATTTCCATGAGTTGCTTCAACCCCATTCAAAATGAAAACCAAATACAATTAGTTTTTCTTGCCCTATTAATCAGGCTATCTCTTCAATGATGATGTGACCTATTGATGTTATAGGATCTTAATTAAGACTTAATCTTTCATTACTGTTGTGATGTAAAAAAAAATGCCCATTGTGATATATTGTGTTGTTTCTTAAAATCTTGGATGTGTGTAATTGGTGAAAGGTTTAAGGGAGAATTCACTTTTATGGGTTCAATAGGTCCACGTTCTCTTTGTTTGGAAATGAAATACAATGCAAAGAGTATTAGTTTAACTCTAAGAAAATATTTGGTTTACAGAAACCATTATGACAGTTTCAACCTAATAACAGCAACTTTCAAATAAGCCTTCTTCAAAACTAATAGGCTTTACCAGTAAAGCAATCTGCAGGCAAGCTTTCAGAGAAATAGTTCAGGAATTGGAGTCAGGAGATCTTGGCTCAAACCTTATCTCACACACTTACTAGGTACGTGACCTTGGGCAAGTCACGTAAACTACTTCTGAGTAGGATTTCCTGTAAAATTAGTATGGAAATATTCACAATCGCAGAATTTTCTCGTTAAAAAGGAATACTTAAGTTACATGCCTCAGAGGGCTAACTACTGCAGTGAGGATTGTTTTTCCATATTGTTTGGTTTAAAAAAGAAAATGACAAACAAGAAATAATATTTTTCCTGCTCCCCACTCTTATGCCGATAGAAGGGTGACATTTAGTAAGTGATTCTTAGAGAAAATACATCCATTTGAAATTATTAGCAGTCTACTTTTTGTTTATATAAGTAGCAGAAAACACTGGAGGAAAAATAAGCTTCGAGTTACAACGTTAATTTGAAGGTAACCGGCCTTTCAAGAATTAATTTCAGCCAAGGCAATAATCGTTATTTACCAGCATCTGACATTTTTATCACTCATCATATTAGCAAATTTCCATTGAAAATGCTAAAACGGTTCGTCATAAGGCAGATAACTGCTTTAGCTGTAAAAATGACCAACACAAGTGCCGGTGCTCACACATTAAATTATACCGTAATTAATAAAGACAGTTAAGCTGTCTACCAGCAACAGCAATTTAGGTAACCATATTTGATCGGCTATAAATTATAACTACATTAAAATTCCAGAAATATTAGCAATATGGATTACTTGATGGAAGTAGGTGCTGATGACCAACACTCCTTTTTCTTTTTCTTTTTTTTTTTTTTAAAGAACGGAAGAACGGGTCATGTTGGCCACGAAACCATGGGCGAAGATCAAGGCTGAGCACTTTTAATCTTGTGAAACAAGCAATTACAAATAGTCCCATCGATTTGTTAAAAAGCTTTAGGTGACATAAATTGTTTCCTGTTTAGCTTATTGCTCTGATACATAAATGTCACAGAGTATAATATTAATTAGGGCCAGGGAACAACCAGGGGGCAAGTGATATGGCTTCCAGTCAAGGATGTGTCAGGTCTTTGGGAAGGCTTTTTAGAAGGCGACCTGAGCTATTGGGCCTGGCCTTCTTGTGCCCTGCTCTTCAAGCTTCTTGGCATAGCAGGACAAAAGAAAGAAAGGGAAACTCTTCTACCCCCAATAAAGTCATTATTTTAATACTAGTTTAATTTTATCATTTAAGCTAAATTGCAGTGTTTTTCAGAGGCATTCCCTTGCCATCTGACATGAAATCCTACACTTAAAAAATTGGTGTCAACAAAATACAATAATGTTTACAAAAGCTTTCTGCTTCAAATGCTGGACATTTCCCCTCGCCCTTCTGGATGTGGCATGTATATGTTTCATTTTTCCCCTTGGGTGTACGTTTCTACACTTAAAAATCCATTTTCAAATGGGTTGTGCAGGTTATTTACTTAACATAAATCAAATGTATCATGTACCCTTTCTTTAGGCTGACTTACAACTTAGAAAAATAGATACTGAAAAAGTCTGGAGAAAATTTATTAAATATACGTTTTTACTGTAATACAATATTAATGTAACCCAATGCTCGTTTCCCATTAAGTTGATCCCTTTTTTTTTTTAATACACACATGCTTTTTATTATTTTGCACTCATGCAAAAATTCCACATTCAAAGACTTTCCATCCAGTCAGGAATGTCTCTGGCAAAAGCACAGTACGATATCCTGACCTAAAAAGAGACAGAAGACATCATTCACAGGGAAAGATGGTGTACCACCAGTCAAGGCGAGCAGACCCCAAAAGGAAAATGAAAGGTAAACTCAAGTCAACAGTGCTGGAGCAGCAGAAACAATTACTCTTTAAATCCCTTCTCACAGCTACTCCAGCGCTGCACAGATGAAAATGTTTGATTTGCAACATAAAAGATTCATTAATTACCACTTGAATATTTAAAGCTATTTTGCAGCCTAACAGAGATAGATAAAGCAGTGAATTAAAACCTCTAATAAAATTGTAAAAATATTTCAATAAGTTTACCAGTGTTATGATTTAGGGAGATATTCAAGCATTCTTAACCGAATAAAATCTTAGCAATTTTTCAAGTGTGTATTTGAAGTAAGATGTTGAGATTTCAGAGAATAATTTGTTTCTCATTTTCAAATGTTTACTAATACGCTGTTTTTGAGCCAGAATTGCTATTGGTAACTTTGTTGAGCTAAAAAAGACACCTTATCTCTAGGTGGGGATATGCCATCCCCGTTGGAGTTAAGGAATTTCTTTTACAAGTAAATACGATTCAAGAGGTATGGCCCTGTCCTCTGGGCGCTTCTGTTCTGAAGAAAGGGCAGCTAGGTGGTGGAGAGGATAGAACTCCTGGCCTCAAACATTTACTAAGCTTTGTGACCCTGGGCAAGTCACTTAACCCTGTTTGCCTCGGCTCCTCACCTGTAAAATGAGCGGGAGGAGGAAACTGCAAATCATTCCAGTGTCTCTGCCAAGAAAACCCCAAATGTCTGACATGACTGGATCAAAGGACAGTCTGGAGAAAGTAAAGGCTGCTCACACACAACCCATGCAACACACCCACCCACAAAACAATGCATTCTGAATACTTTGCATTCATTCAACTGTTCATTCAATCCTTATGGGAACACCTATTTTGTTGGGTTCTGGGAATTTTAAGACAAATAAAAGAAGGAAATAACCCTGCTTTCCTTGAGTTTGTATTAATCCAATTAGGGAGAAACAATTTGTATTTGGAAGGGCAGATACAAAGGTTTAGGCATTGGGATGATCTGGAGGGGTTTCCCGCTTTGGGGGGTAAATTGAAGATTCTGGGCAGAGGTGAGGAAGGAATGCTTTCGAGTCACTGGGGGGAGAAATGGCACCTCATATTCTAGGCATTAGATTTGCATTATCTATGACTATGTATTACCTAGATAATATGTATCTATGCATTAGATGTTCATACCAATCTATCTAATACCTTTCTAACAGGGTGCTAAAAGTACTCAAATCTAGATTCAAATTCCAGCCCTTAGGCAAATCACTTGGACCTCAGTTTCCTCTGCTGTTAAAAAAGAAAGAAAGAGAGGGCTGGACTAGATGATGTCCAAAGATTTCTAGCTTTTTGTCTGTGGAA